AGGATCCCCCTCCCTGTCAGACACCACCCCCCCATGCTGGTCTCCTCTGCAGCCTCAAGCCAGGCAGAGGCAGACAAGATGTCAGGTATGTCTGCTCCCAGCCCCTCACTGCCTCCCCCCAGCAGCAGCCTAGCCCTTGAGGCCAGCCTTGGCCAGCCCAGCAGGCTCCCCCAGAGTGGAGACTCCGAAGGTCTTGAACGAGAAACAGAGCCCATCCCCAAGATGAAGGTGATGGAGAGCCCCAGAAAAGCCCCTGGGAATGCTTCTGGTACAAGCCAAGACGGAAACACCAAGGATGTCCGGGGGAACCTGGGCCCGTTGCCTCTGGGCAAGACTAGGCCGGGGGCCATCTCGCCGCTGAACTCTCCTCTCTCCACCACGTTCCCTTCTCCTTTTGGCAAGGAGGCCTTTCCTCCCAGCAGCCCCCTGCAGAAGGGGGGCTCCTTCTGGAGCTCCATTCCTGCTTCCCTAGCCAGCCGGCCAAGCTCCTTCACCTTCCCGGGGGACAGTGACTCCCTCCAGCGGCAGACGCACCGCCATGCAGCCCCCAGCAAGGACACAGACCGCATGAGCACGTGCTCCTCGGCCAGCGAGCAGTCCGTGCAGTCCACTCAGAGCAATGGGGTAAGAGCGCCAGGGAGCCTGCGCCCATCCACCCCACCGCCTCTGTCCCGCCAGCTCTTCTAAACCTCCGTACTAACTCCGGCTCTTCAGCACTGTGCAGCAGTAATCGCCTTCTTCAGTTCTTCTGTGCGTTGTCTACGTAGACACGTCTGTGGCCTCTGTGTGTGCGCTCGAGTCTGTGCCCCGTGGCATTGCACTGGCACCCAGCCACCAAGTGAATGCAGCCACCTCTAACCCCCTGTGGGACCACGGACAGCACCTGCTCTCCTCTCTACTAACTTGCTTCTCGCTTTATTCCTGTCTCCTTAAGAGAAAGCGCATCATTAACTTCCTCCACACAGCCTCTTTAAGTCTCTTCAGTTTCTGATCAGCAAAGCATCTTGGAACTTGCTTTTTAGGCCCTGCCTTCCTCGTACTTCTTTTTTCTTTTCTTTCTTTCTTTTTTGTTTTTGGGAGGGGTCTTTTTTTTTTTCTGTTCTCTATTACTTACGATGAAATGTGTACACTTTTAAGCTTTTTGCTCATCGCTTAGTTTTGCTCTTTTATGCCTTAAGTTATCTTTGCAGCTTTTTTTTTTTTTTGAGTCATCTGATGGAAAAGCAAAAAAAAAAAATGATTTCCTCAAGAAAACAACCAACAGCAACTCAAAGCAAAATAAAATAGCATAAGGGGGCAGGAATCTACCCAGTGGGAAAGTTTCCTCCACCCTAAGTCTCCTGGAGAGACACTGGCCCAGGCACCTGGACACTCAGCTTCTCCAGAGATGGCTGGGCCTCATGCCTCCAGCGAGGATGCCAGGGGCAACTCAAGTGCCTCTGCCGTGGGGCTCCAGCTCCTTCTGTGGTCACTTGCATTGTGTTCTCAAGCCGAAGGGTGTCTCTGCTGGGTTCCCTCCCACTCTGTGGCCTCCTCACTGTCCTCCAACTGTCTCCTCCAGGGCAGATGGCCTGGCCCGTAACACTCTAATGAAGGCATGCGTGAGTGCACAGAGCTGTTCTAACGAGTGTATGTTTGATCGCTTTATAAATTTTTAAATACATTTCCCTAAAAGGGTCTGTGTCTCTCATTGTATATATATTTATATATAAAATCTAGCTTTTGCATGTCTCTTTCCTCTGGACTTCTATTAATCCCTCATTTGTACTCCTGATCTTATCTTCTTTTTCATTAGGGATTCTGATTAACTCCGCCTTCATCTTTATTTGTGGAAGAAATTAAGAAATGGGTCTTGATGCTTTTATTTACACTTGAGTTACCCACTAAATGGTTAAGCAGGGGTCCATTGGAGGATATTCCCCATGTGCTTGCCATGGACTTTCCATTCTGTACAGAGTTGAGGGGGTTTCCAGCTAGATTGGAAACTCTAGGTGGCCAGACAGTCTACTGACAAGTTACACCCCATTCCTGGTTGTCTGCTCAGTTACCAGGCCTGGTCTCAGCACTGTGATCCATACAGCATGGGCCTGCTGACAGTGCCTGCACCCTCTAACCTGCCCACATTCCCAGTAAGTTGAGAAAGCTTTCAGGTCTATGTCTCCAAGCGTGTAACTACTCTAGGACAGGAGCCAGGCCCTCATCCCTGGATGCCCCTTCAAGGGCATGGTTAGGGACACAGCTCCACCCTGAGGGAAGTAGCCTTTGATTTCTGACTCTTCGCACTGCTTTTGTGGAAGGCAGCTTGGAAAAGGAAACTGACAGGCTGAGGTATAATCAGAATGGAGATGTGTAATGCCCTCTTGCCCCCTTCCTGGCACTGGGTAAAAAGGGCCATTGGAGGTCTTAGCAGCTAGCCAATGAGCAGGGCCTCCTGTCCTGTGACTGCCCCCTGGGGAGCTGTCTGGGATTGTAGACAGGCTGCCTCGCCTGACCTCTAGCAGTCTGACCCTTCCTCCCACTCCAGATGGCACCTTCTGCTGAGATCGGGGTGGGTGGGGTGCAACTACAAGGCCCCAAGCTGACTGGGCTGGCCTGTCTTCTCTGCCATTACCCGACCTTCCCTCCCACAGTGTGAGCAGCAGAAGAGTCAGCTCCAGCCCCACCTCCTTGTCACTTCCTGGGTGGCCTGGGCATTCGTCTCATCCTTCTCTGAGGGGAGGTTGTGGGAACTGAGAAAGGCTGGAATGCCTGATGCATATGCTGGCCAGAGGTGCATTTAGAAGTGGCAAGAGCCGTGATTGCCTCAGATCATTCTGGCTATGAGAGGCAGCCCGCTGTGATACACTAACCAGGGCAGCTGTAGCACAGAAAGGTTTAGGTTACATTTCTACAACATTGGCCTGTGCCATCCCCAAACTGCCGGGTAAAAATACTAAGGTGCATGCTAAAAGCAAAGTGAGCGTGCATGGCACGCTTTGAGCTGAAGGGTCACAGGCAGGGAGTGGTACCGTGGGGACAAGAGCATCTGACCCATCGTGAATACAAGCCGGCGACTCTTCCATGTCCACAGCAGCTCCCATGCAAAGCCCATCCATGCAGCTTCCAGAAACTGGCTTGTTGGCTGCCCACTCATGGCCTCTCAGAGAAGAGCCTGTGGGCCTGATGTCCCCTCAGCCACCTCAGAACAGCAGTCAGCATTATGCTCTTGCACCATCTGACATGCTCTGAAGACTAGGACTGAGAAGGGAGGAGGCCAGGTCATCTCCCCCTCAGAGTGTCCCAGAGCACAGCATAGACTTTGAAATCCTGACCTTTATAAACACCCTGCAGCAGCAGCATGCAAACATTTGACAGCAAACTCACAGAAACCAGGGCCCAGAGGCCATTCCCCATATCTTAATTTGATAGAGGGGACTTGGGCAAGATGCCACTCAGGAATCAATAGTGGTGTCACCTTTCTCCATTCCTAGACAAATAGGTAGTCAGGTGAGAGCCTGGGTCAGGTGGCTGCCATTTGTGTTTCGTTCGTTTAGTTTGTTCATTAGAAGTGTAAGGCTGGCGGCCTTAAGAAACCAACTAGGTTTTACTTATGCAGTCTTGACTTGTTGACTGAGTTACTGGACAGGTGTTGCAGGCCAACTACATGTCAGTCACTGACCAAAGAAACTGTATGCCACTGAGGCCTCAGGGTAAGGGCAGTGGAAGAAATCACCACAGCCATTTAAAGATATCTTCCCTAAAGCTTGAAGGCAGCTCTGTGACATTATGCCATACATATGTTGCTGTGACAAGAGAGGTATGAAGACCCCTGAGGCAAGCTCGGTCAAAGGATCATCCACTGAGGGACATAAAGGAGATGGAGCAGCCATCCCTAAGAGTAGAGTGTTAGTTCCTTGGCCTTCCAGATGCTCCGCACTCTTTTGGGGGGGGTGGGAATGGGGAAGCAAAGGTTAGGCAGATAAGAGCTGTAACCTGGAATTCGCATTGCCAGTGAATGTCTTATTAGGAAGATTTGGGGACATCTCAGTTACAATCTATCAGGGAGCCAAGTGGCTACCCTACAGCCTTCAAAGTTAAAACTCTTTTGAACCCGAAACAACCAATATGACATCGACATGAGGACTGAGCGGCTTGTGCAGGGCACGACGAAGATCCAACTACGTCAGGCTCCCAGGGCGACAGCACTGAGGTGGATCTTTTGGAATTGTTTCTCGATGGCTGACCAAGTGGTTGCAAGGGGGGCATTGAGCTGAAGAAAGTGTAAAGGAAGAGTTTAACATCTCCCTGTCTGCTGAGCCCTTCTTCAGTGGGCAGGGTGCCATGGCACACGGTAACCAGTGGCCGTTGCTGTCAGATCTCATCTCAGTCCCCGTCCACCCTGTTTTCTTCATCTCTCCCTCCAGAGTGAAAGTAGCAGCAGTAGCAACATCTCCACCATGCTGGTGACACACGAGTACACGGCAGTGAAGGAGGATGAGATTAACGTCTATCAAGGAGAGGTCGTTCAAATTCTGGCCAGTAACCAGCAGAACATGTTTCTGGTGTTCCGAGCCGCCACTGACCAGTGCCCCGCAGCCGAGGGCTGGATCCCAGGCTTTGTCCTGGGCCATACCAGTGCAGTTATCATGGAGAACCCCGACGGGACTCTCAAGTGAGTGCCAGCAGTGAGGCAGCCAGAGCATGGGCCGCTGTGGGGATGGGAGTGCTTGAAGGTCCTGGAGGGAAGAAACCAAAGAAGAAAAATGTGTTGTTTATGCAGGTTTGCCTCTAAGTGAAATGTATGAACCCCCCCTCCATGTAGGTGGGCTGTCCTTCTCCTAACAGAGTCTCCTTAATACCTCTTTCATTAGGGTCACTAAATAATCCCTGAAGGTCTTAGTTAAGGAGCAGGACCTCTGAGGGACACAGGATCATCACTCACAGCCTACAGGGAAAGATCTATGTGATGGTTTTGCCATCAGCCCTTTAATACTCAAAGGCACGTTGACTCAAGCCTGAAACCAGCCTTGTTGCACTGAACATTATATTAAAGAAAACCGAGTCCATATTGGTCTTTTCTCTCCTGGAACCTCCCTGAAACATGAGAGACCAGCCATGGCTTTCCCAGAATAGAACAGCTTTGATGCTGGGAGAGGCCATGCTGCCTGGCTGCATGGGTACCTTCCTTAGGACTAGCGTCCTTCCCCTTATCCTGTCTCACTGAGAGGCAGAGCGAAGTGAGTGTGTTGTTCGGGACCCCTGAACTACAGGTCTCTATGTTATTCTTGGCTTTAGAAGAAGTGTAAGATATGGAAGTCCCGTGTTATGCTTTATTTCTTCAACACACATTTGTGAACCTTGTGTTAGATTCTTCAGGGAGACAGACCTACTGGGGTAAGCTGTGAGTAGGCAGGGGACTGGCTCACACAGTTGTGGAGACAGGCAAATCCAGACTGCTGGTCCCCACTCATGTTCCCTTCATAGACCTTCAACTGACTGGATAAGGAAGGGCAAATAGCTTCATCCATCCCGATGTTCTGGCCAACCAAAAGTTCCCTCAAAGAAACTCTGGGAACGGTTGACTGTCTCTGCACAGTGTGGCCCGGTCAAGTTGACACATGATTTAACTATTGCTTTTGTATTTAAATCTTTAAAATTTGCATAGTGATTGCTGGCTTTGTCCCCTGCTTCTTGAGTATCCCTGTGAAGTCAGTGGTTAAGGGGTCTCTGTTCCTAGAGGCCTTCAGTTCCTGTGTGAAGCCTTTCTCCAATGCTTCTCGGCTTCATCCGCTGACCATGGGGGAGAAGAGATATGAGCACTGTATCTTTTTCTCCCCTAGGAAGTCAACATCTTGGCACACAGCACTCCGTTTAAGGAAGAAGTCTGAGAAGAAAGAAAAAGACGGCAAAAGGGATGGCAAGCTGGAGAACGGGTACAGGAAGCCACGCGAAGGGCTCAGCCACAAGGTATCTGTGAAGGTGCGTGTGAGAAGCCAGGCCTGGTGCCACCTCTGAGAGGAGAGCAGAGATGGTGAGCCACTGTAGGCCCTAAGTTGGGGCTTGCTTGAGGACCCTCTCCCCTCTCCCTGGGGTACCATTACAATGGCTCTCCATGCAGCCACATAGCTTACACCTGCACGTATCACCTGGCCACGTGTGGCTTCAGAGAATGTGATGAAGTCAGATGGCCTTTAAGTAGCATGTTTGTGAGTAAGAAGATAAACTCAGTTAATTGATAGGACGAGGCCGTTCCAGTGTGTGTGACAGCAGTAGAAGGTGATTGGTCCCACTTGATTCCAGATAAGCCAAGCTCTCCCAACAGTAACTGTAGCCCTTCGATCAGAGTAGCCTCCCTGAGAACAACTGTTTTTATTAATGCCTGTTTGCCTTTTCCATTTCAGCTTCTCAACCCCAGCTACATTTATGACGGTGAGTCCTGTTGTCTTTTCTCTAGTTGGAGGGATCACAGACTTGCAGGGTGGCTGTCGGAGCACCAGGGCCCCGTACCGGGGTACTTTGTGGTGCTCTGGTTTCCACTCGTGTGTAGAACCACACGAGAGAGGTAGAAAGATGCTGAGGATAACTGGCATTGACCAAACTCCCTTCCCTTGCAGTGCCCCCAGAATTTGTTATCCCATTGAGTGAGGTCACGTGTGAGACAGGGGAGACCATCATTTTCAGATGTCGTGTCTGTGGCCGCCCCAAGGCCTCAATCACCTGGAAGGGCCCCGAACACAACACTTTGAACAGTGATGATCGCTACAGCATCTCCTACAGGTGAGGGGCCACTCTGGAGCAGCTCGCTGGCCAGGGCCATGGTTCGAGTTCCTCAGTAACTGGAAATGCACTGTTCACCGTCAGAATCATCTCTTCCCTTTGTCACCTTGGGCATGCAGTCTTGGAAGACCATTTCATAGGTGGGGAGGGAGATAGAGCTGGGGCCCGAAGGTGCTGAGCATTCCTGATGCCTAGTGTATCCTCACGTGTGCCACAGTGACGTTGGGGAGGCCACTCTGAAGATCACTGGTGTGACCACGGAAGACGACGGCATCTACACGTGCATTGCTGTGAACGACATGGGTTCAGCCTCATCTTCGGCCAGTCTGAGGGTTCTAGGTAAGCTGCCTAGGGACAGGCACCTCTCCTGGCTCTCCCCTGAAGTCCGGTGTGTCTGTCACACTTGGTGGGTCATGAAACTTAGAACAAAAGGCCACATGTGTGGATGTCCAAAAGAGGCTCAAATATCAGGCAGTGTCACACATGTTAATTTGGCAAGTTCAGGGGAATACTATAAGAGAGTGTGTATAAAAGACCTAAGGTCCTGCCATTGGGCATTTGAGTCACTGGTGACTGATCTGAGCTGGAATGCGGTGCTTTGGTGCCCTTAGTACTTACAAGCAGGTTCGTTTATCCAGTCTTCCAGCTGAGGTTAAGTTGGTTCATGAAGCATGGGAGTGAAAAGTGGGAAAAGAAGTGGTATCTTCTAGGCCTGTCTCAGACCCCAGTGCATGCAGCCCTTCAGTGAGGCGTGATCTGCCATGGCTCGGTGACTTCCCAAATACCTAGCTAGGCGAGTGTTCCTAGGGGCCTGTTTGTTGGTGGTCTTGGCACCCCTCATCCCAACAGGATGCTGTGTTCTTGGCAGTTAGCCTTTGAGCCCTGTGGACAGAATCCTTCCAAATCCTGCGGAATTCCTCTGGGGGCTTGCATTTGACATGAGTGGGTGTTCAGAGCAGTGGGCAATGCCCACTGAGGCCAGCCATACTACACCGGGCAGCTACAAGTGCCCACCTGTCCTTAGATGCTTCCAGCAGGGACAATAAAATTCCTAATGGTGAATTGGGTTCTATGTGTAGACAGTAAGCCAAATTTGTCTAAAAATTTTATCTCTCATATTGTGACTTTATTAAATCATAGAAAGGGCATATTATGGCTATGGGTGGGACCTAAAAGAGAACAAGATCATGAAGTTAAAAGTAAAGAACCATTGATTTTTCTCATTTTAAAAAAGTCATATAAACAGTCGGGTGATGGTGGCTCGTGCCTTTAATCCCTGCACTTGGGAGGCAGAGGCAGGCGGATCTCTGTGAGTTCAAGGTCAGGCTGGTATACAGATGGAGTTCCAGGACAGCCTCCAAAGCAATACAGAGAAACCCTGTCTCGGGGTGGGGGAGGGTCGTATAAATTGTAGAGTTGGTCCTTAATAAGCCACTGCTGAAAGCTCAGAGTTACAGAGCTATAACTCTTTGGAGATCTGAGCAGGAAAATAACAGAAAAGAAAACAAATAGCTCTTCCTGTCACAAAATCTTCAAGGTCTTTAGAAAAATGCCATCTTGTTGGGCAGGCCACTAGATTTTCTTCCAGTTTCCAGACTGCACCCTGTGAGAAGCCACTTGGTGGTAACACGTCCAAAGGCTGGCACTCAGAGTCAGCAAGCCAGAAAGTGCTGGGGCAATACTCTGGAGAGCACAAAGCAAATGAGCAGTGTCTACACAGGACAGCTCACTGGTGGGGAATGACTAGCAGACATTAAAACCACACACCAAGGCCTGCAAACCAGGTGAATGAGGCCAAATTAAGCTAGAGTAAGACTGTCTCAAAAAAGAAAAAGGCAGGCAAGCACTCGGAAGTGATAGGGATGCACACGTGTCGAAAGAGATCACTGAATGGTGTGTGCTCCCGTGTCAGTGACAAGGATGAAGGCCTCACTTCCTCCGTGGGCCCTTGGGTGAGGATTTAAGGTTTTCTATTTTGGGTACTCTGGTGTCAGTGAGATGCAGAGCTACGAAGAAGGTTCTATACAGTCACACCAACACAAGAGCTCCAGCACTGGCCACCTTGGCTGAGGAACGCCTGGTGCTGGGAGGTGTTTGCTCGCCATGGGGGAGATGATGTCCACTCATTGGTGACCCAGGGCAGGCACATACGAAGGGACTACAGCCCACAAAGCCTAGAATGATCAATCATAATGGGTGTGGTTTAAGGAATGCATGCTTGCTGATGACTTGGTAAGCAAAGGGAGAGGATGGGTGAGCCAGTTCCAGCTGAACTGGACTAGAGCAGAGAGTGGAGAAAGAAGAGCCGATGAGTAGTGTCCACAATGCTGGCCACTCCGTGTAAGGCCTGATGGACTGTCTGGTAGCTGTGTTACTAGGTTGAAAGTCACAGGCTTGTCAGTCATGTCTGTCACTGCCCACCTGTAGCCCCAGCCCTTGGGAAGCAGAGGCAGGAGGACTGCAGCAAGTTCAAGACCAGCCAGAGCTAATAGAGCAACCCTATCTCGAGGTAGGGGAAGGAAATTATATGCTTAACAACTCCTTTTTGTTATTGTGTTGTTTTCTTTGGAACTTCTCTCTCCAAACAGCTCTAAATTTTATTTAATAGCTCCTTGACTAGGGTTGGACTATGTGCCCACCTCTCCTCCATGCTGGATTTTTTTTTGGCTTGAGCTTGTTCAGGTCTTATACATGCTGTCACAGTCTCAGTGAGTTTGTAAGTGCATTCATCTTGTTGTGTCTTAGAAACACTACTTCCTCAGCTGGGCGTTGGTGGCACATGCTTTTAATCCCAGCACTCGGGAGGCAGAGGCAGGTGGATCTCTGTGAGTTCGAGGCCAGCTTGGTCTCCAGAGTGAGTGCCAGGATAGGCTCCAAAGCTACACAGAGAAAGACTACTTCCTCAAAGTTGTCTGCCATCTCTGGCTCTTAAAGTCTTTCCGCCCACTCTTCCACATAGATTCTTGAGCCCTGCTCAGGGAGGGATGTAATAAAGGCATCCCAAGTAGGACTGCATGCTCCCAAGTTCCCCTCTGCACATTGTCCACCTGTGAGTTTCTGTACTGACTGCCTTCTACTGCAAGAAGCTTATCTGATGAGCACTGAATGGCGCACTGATCTTTGGGGCTAGTGATGTCATTAGGACAGAAGAGATTAAACATCTTGTTTCCTTTGGGCTTATATAATATCATATTCACTGTTAACAAGTAACTTCCAAAAACATGAATGATAAAACCGTCTGTGTTTGCAACATATTTATACTTTACATACTCTAAAAGACTGTGAACAGGACGGAGAGATGGCTCAGAGGTTAAGAGTGCTGGACTGCTCTTCCAGAGGTCCTGAGTTCAAGTCCCAGCAACCACATGGTGGCTCACAACCATCTGTCGTAAGATCTGGTGCCCTCTTCTGGTGTGCAGGCAAATATGCAGACAGAACACTATATATGTAATAAAAATAAGTAAATAAATGTAAAAGACTATGAACATTGAGAAGACACAGTTCACCCTCACCTTCTGAAGGCTGGGAAAGCAAGCACAGTTTGCAGGCTGTGAGTCTGGGTGAACAGGAGGCACAGACTATAAATCGGCTCTGTCAGGCTGGAGAGATGTCCCAAGCAGGTAAATGCAACTTGCTATACAAGCATGATGATCTGACTCCAAAGGCCCAGAACCCCATAGCCAGGCATGGTTATGGGGACCCCTGTAACTCCAGCGCTGTGAAAGGCACAGACAAGAGGGTGGCTGGGGTTTGCCAACCTAGCTTCAGGCTCAGTGAGAGAATGTCTGTAGGTAATAGGCAGATAGTGATAGAGAGAGACACCAGTGTCCGCCCCCACAAGCAGCGCTACAAACTAGAAACAAGACTCAAGTACAGTTTTACATTCTTAAATAAAAGCAGATTGATTTCACTAACACTTATCTAATGTATCAACAGTAATTGATTCTAATGTGGAATCAACACCTATACATTGCTCATGAACTATTTCCAGTCTTCTGTCCATGTTAAATCCAGTGTCTCAGGCATGTGTCTTACTATGGCCTGAGAGTGCTACCTCTCAGGGACGCTAGGTGGCCACGTGTAGCGGCCATATTGGACAGTACAGGTTTGTGATTTCTGATCAAGAAGCTCTGCTTCGGTCCACTCAGGAGCTGAGCATGGTGACTCACACCTGTAATGCCAGCACTTGGACTACCAGTTTAAGGCTGCTGACAGAGAGCAATGCTGTTTTTAAAAGGAAAAACAAATACACTCAGGTGCAATGGTGTTCTTCTTGCAGGTCCAGGGAGTGATGGGATCATGGTGACCTGGAAGGACAACTTTGACGCCTTCTACAGTGAAGTGGCGGAGCTCGGCAGGTATGATGTGAAATCCAAAGCCCCTTCCGCAACAGTAAGATTGCTCATTATCCCAAGACTGATAAGCAGAGTGTTGCCATCAATAGAGGTGACTGTCTTGAGTGTGGTGTTAGTGACAGAAACAAAAGAGAGGAAAGGGTTCTTCCAGATGGTGTTTTTAGAGGGCTTCAGTCTATCCTGACAGGAAAGATAGCATGCTGTTTCTTGGGGGGGGGGGGGGGGGGCGGGGCGGGGAGAGCAGAAGCAGTAAGTAAGAAACAGCAACCAAGGTCATATGTAAATGTCAAAGGCCTACCCCTATAACTCCCTCCAGCAAGACGCACTCCTCATGGTTCCACAGCCTCCCCAGAATGGTCCCCCTGTGGAAACAGTAGCACGTTAATGGGCTTTAGATGTTAAGCACTGGGAAGGGATCAAAGCAGACTTTAGGTAGGATTCACGGAATGAAGGCCTAATGCCATGGGCTCTCCATTGATGGGACAAGCTAGGTGCCGCCGTTGGAAGAGTCCAGAGAAGAGGCACATATTTGCTTGGTAAGGGCTGGAGAGATGGCTTGGCCGTTAAAGGCTAGGCTCACAACCAAAACCACTTGCTTGGTAAACTTCCTTCTGTCGGATTGCCAGTTGAGAAATGCTGACTGTGCACTCGTGGCACAGTTGTTCATGGAGATTTGAAGGGATTATGCCATGATCTGATGGAGTACCAGGCAATTCTTGACTGAACAAAGAAGTTCTAACGTAAGAGGCTGCTTCTCTCCAGCTGAGGCTGCCAAGGCCAGGGTGGCTCAGCAATGCTGTAGACAGATAGCCCTCTTCTAACTTCTGGCTTCTGTACTACACAGCGATCACCCACCTGTAGCCATTGTGTCCCCAGGCAGGAGAGGGTCAGAGATGACTGCTAATTCAAGCCTTTGGGTGAACTTTCCCTTGAAGTCTATCAACAGCCTTCTACATACTAGTGACCACTGGCCACGCTGGGTCATATGGCTCCTTGTGGTGTATATCCCATTTCCATTTTGCTCAGCACTAAGTCTTACCCCCATTTGGTCTTAATGGTAATGGTGGGCCAGTCCTCATAACACTCAGATTGACTGGGTAGGCATTTTTGTCCATCTCGCCCGGGCTCATACTGTTGGCACACCCACACCTCACTCAAGTCTGCATCTCTAAATGGATGTAGGACTCTTTCTACATAGACATTCACCCTTCGCTTCCTAACATGGTGGTAGAGACACTCCAGAACAGAAGTAGAGCTTTCCCAGGCTCGGAAACAAGCAACTGTACTCTGTCCATATTCCACTGTTTGGCAACTGTGGGCACTTACAGTAGCCTCTGAATGGTGACATTCTATGGGGATGGAGGTAGAAACTCAAGGCTCCCTTGAGCTACCACTGTCACCACATTCAGTGGTCAGGAAGCCCCAGGCATGCCCAGTCCCAGCATTAGAAATGGAGGCTGCCCTTAAGAGGAAGGAATGGCAGTCCAATAGGTGATTTGGCACCACGTCCCTTCCACACAGGGCCCAGCAAAGTAAGGTCTGTGCACAGGTAACAAGTCACCATCCCACAGAGGGGGTCCCATGTCCTTTCTCCTTAACCAATTTTACAGGGGCAGATTTGCTGTGGTTAAGAAATGTGATCAGAAGGGAACCAAACGAGCAGTGGCCACAAAGTTTGTGAACAAGAAGTTGATGAAGCGTGATCAGGTCACCCATGAGCTCAGCATCCTGCAGAACCTCCAGCACCCCCTCCTTGTGGGTCTTCTTGACACCTTCGAGACCCCCACCAGTTATGTCCTGGTTTTGGAAATGTGCGTACCCTGTCTCCCTTCCTCTCATTCTTACCTCAGCTCCCAGCACTTTTGTTGATCCTGCTTGTTCCCCGAGAAAATAGGCTCTGTGGTTTTAGAATTCCTAGAACTTCTACAAAGATAGATTTATTGTCAGAGACTACTGTGTTGGTGGAGCCTCCACTCATGGCACAATTATCTGAGTGCTGGCAATTGAACCTGGATCCTCTGCAAGAATAACCAGTGTTCTGAACTGCTGAACCAATTCTCCAGCCACCTCATCCTTGGTGTCTTTAAATGCACAGCCACTGGAGATCTGTGAATGAGCTAAAATGATGCTCTGTGTGTGTGTGTGTGTGTGTGTGTGTGTGTGTGTGTGTGTGTGTGTGTGTGTGTGTGTGTGTGTAAAACCAGTGTCTTAGCCCAGTGCTGTCCTGGAAGCCCCCATGCCTGGGAAGCCCTCTGGTAAACTTGATGACCGGCAGCTACTACTTACCTTCCACAGGGATTCTGAACAAGAAAAACCCCTCAGGTCTTTGCTAGAAACCAACACATTCAGCTATAGATTTACTATGGCTGGGGTGGGGATGCTGAAGGGAGTGTGTTTGTTTTGCAATGAAAAGCTGGACCCAGAGCCTCCCATGTTCCTGGAAAGGGCCAGACCACTGACTTATAACCCCTATCTCTTCTGCTCTTACTTCTTTTTATTGGAAAGTTGCATGGTGTATCACTTAGCTAGTTTTCTATTGCCATGACAAAATACCATGACCAAGGGCTGTTACAAAAGAAAACATTGAGTTTGGGGGTTCACCATTCCATAGGGTAAGAGTCAATGACCATCACAGCTGGAAGCATGGCGGCAGGCAGCCATGGTGCTAAAGCAGTAGCTGAGAGCTCACATCTAATCCAGAAACACAAGGAGGAGACAGAGAGCTAACTAGAAATGGTGTGAGCTTTTGGAACCTCAAAGCCCACCCTCAGTGACACACCTCCAGCAAGTTCACATCTCCTAGTCCTTCCCAAATAGTTCCACCTACTGGAGACCAAGCATTCAAACATGTGAGCATATGGAGGCCATTCTCATACCTCCACTGCAGTGCAGCCTCGTCAGACTGTTAACAGAACTGATTTTCATGAGAGACTGCCATAATTTCCCACTAATGACTGACCACTCCTTGCTAGATGGGTGGTTGGTCTTCCTATGAACTTCTGCTTTGAAAACAGCGAGTTTTCAGGACAACCTCCATCCAGTAGAGACTGTTTATAAGCTGTGAAACCTCGGGAAAGTTTTATACCTTCCCTGCCTCTGTTTCCTCGTCTCTAAAATGGAGCAGTAAAGCACCCTTCTCGGGGTATGGAAGGTTGAGTGAATAGATACTACTAAACTTTTAGTTTAGAGCTTTGTATTATTAAACATTAGTTCAGATTAGGGTAACTTTTGACTAAGCATGCATATGTTGCCCTGGCATGTGGCTTTTATAACATGATCTCATCCTATCATCATGGCCTGTTTTATATGTAAGGAAGCCTAGGCTAAGGGAGGTGGGTGACCCCTCCTTTTTGCAGCAGTTATTTACATCCAGATGTCTGCTGTGTGTCGGCACTGCCCAACAGCTTGCTATAACAACACACAGTGAGGTTACATCCCTGACTACAGCTCTCCCACCAGCCATCCCCCAAGTGGGGGGGGACCAGAACCTCCTCCCTGTACCATGCCATCTAGTGGAGATCCAGCCCTGAGAATGTGGGTTGATTTCTCCCTAAAATGGTCTGTGAGTTGAAAGGTGACAAATGTCCTTCTTCCCCTGTAGGGCTGACCAGGGTCGCCTCCTGGACTGTGTGGTACGATGGGGAAGCCTCACCGAAGGGAAGGTCAGAGAGCACCTGGGGGAAGTTCTGGAAGCTGTCCGATACCTTCACAACTGCAGGATAGCACACCTGGACCTAAAGGTTGGCAGGCCCAGGGCTGGGCAAGGGAGGTCTGCCAAGGCCAGATGGGCCACATGGGCTTCGAGAGCAACACTAGAACTGATTCCTCATCTTTCCCTGAGATGTCTTTAGTACTGCCCACAGCTGGGAGGTCCTAGTAGTTAAACCTGTTGGGTCTGGAGACATTTAGGAAATTTCTGTCAGCGCTGACAAGTTGGCATGGGACCTACCCAGTCCAGGGTGCCTTGGGGAGAGATACTGTGTTCAGTAAGGCCATTTGGACCCTAAAGCTGAGAACTGCCCCTAGCTGAGCTGAGAGCGCTGTACCTCTCCAACCTGTTCTCTCACTGGCCAGGAGAGCTTCCTCGGGTGGCACTTGCCTGCCCGGCTTCCACCTCACCGTAGGATCTGTCTGTCTGTCAGTCTGACAGTGGTCAGACTGAGCATGAGCTAGGGATGTCTGCCAATGATGGTGTCTCCTCCTGTGTTGCAGCCTGAGAACATCTTGGTGGATCAGAGTCTGACCAAGCCAACCATTAAACTGACAGACTTTGGAGATGCTGTCCAGCTCAACACCACCTACTACATCCACCAGTTGCTGGGGAACCCGGAGTTTGCAGCCCCAGAAATCATTCTTGGGAACCCTGTCTCCCTGACCTCGGACACATGGAGTGTTGGAGTGCTCACCTATGTGCTGCTCAGCGGTGTGTCCCCCTTCCTTGATGACAGCGTGGAAGAGACCTGCCTGAACATTTGCCGGCTGGACTTCAGCTTCCCGGAGGACTACTTTAAAGGAGTTAGCCAGAAGGCCAAGGAGTTCGTGTGCTTCCTCCTGCAGGAGGACCCGGCCAAGCGTCCCTCGGCTGCACTGGCCCTGCAGGAGCAGTGGCTGCAGGCAGGTAACGGCAGCTGCAAAGGCACGGGCGTCCTTGACACGTCTAGACTGACCTCCTTCATTGAGCGGCGCAAACACCAGAATGATGTTCGACCTATTCGTAGCATTAAAAACTTCTTACAGAGCAGGCTTCTGCCTAGAGTTTGACCTATCTTGAAGTTCTTTCTCATTCTCTTTCACCTGCCAATCAGCTGTTAATTTGAATTTTGAAGAGGAAACCAAACCAAACTAAGTGACCGGCTGGCTGCCTGCTGTTCATCGTGTGAAATTGCATTCCAAGTGAGCTGTGCTCAGTAGCGCTTGGGCTCGGAGCTACAAGCTGCGCTGGGGTGGAGGACCTTCAGTTACACTCTGCAAGGGCAGAGATCGCATCGCTGTTTCACAGTATTTTATTCAGGTTTCTGCAAAAATAAAATAAAGAGATACTTTTTTTAAATGAACATGGATAGAATTTTGCAAATTTAACATTTTCAAGATTTATTCAAGGAAACACATGCCTATGTTCAAACCACTGGTGTTACACAAAACAAAGATACTGTGCATTTCTGGGAAAGACTCGCCAGGTGGCAGCCACTCCCATGGCCTCAGCCAGTGCTTGGTGCCCACCTGGCACAGAGCTTTCCCAGCTGCCTCATCTGCGTACGTCTTGCCAGGCACCAGACTTGGCTTCTGAAATGTACGTTCAACCTCAGTCTTTTGCATAAAATAGAATGAATGGTTTTGCTCTGATGAATTGTAGGCCTTACATGTATATATGACTCTTCCTGCCTTCTATCTGGCATCCCCCCCCACCCACCGCCTGGGCCTTCCTGTGGGGGGCCAAGGGGGGCCTGCCCATCCAATGAAGACTTTGGGCTGGGTCCAGCCCCACTGACCCCCCCTCCCCAACCCCATCCCAAACCGTCAATCAAATTGTTGAACGGTATACAGTCAGATGAAAATACTGTAAATGCACTCATTGGGGGTTTTTTGATTTTATTTCATATCATGTGCAATGTTGTGGCTTTAACATTTTCTGCAACTATTTATGAAGACTTCTGTTGTACCTGTAATAAATATATAGAAAAAGCACATACTTCGCCAGTGAGCTTTATGGTTCTGTGTATGTTGGGGATGGGTTGTAGCCCTGTGCCATCAGTTCAAGGACACTTAACTCTCCGTGAAATTTGTCAGTTTTGAGGACTGTAAAAAAAGTGATTTCATACTCTGAAAATAAAACTGGATAATAGGGTAATGTTTTAAATTTTATTATGCTATTATTCAGAATGCCAAAGTATTATTTTTTCCCAAAATCAGTCTGAACATTTACTACTTTTTAGACTTTTTGACATTCAACTTTCTGTATAAAAATTGGCTGGATTTTCAGCTTTTGGTAAGAAAGCCAATTAAGTACTGGCCACCCTGAGGCTGGTACCCAGTGCCCGAGTCACTGTGGCAGAGCTGGCGCTGGCGTGGGAAGTCCTTCAACACAAGAAGTTGGGTTTCTGGCACGCTTGAAATTTTTCTGGATGTCTTTTTATCTTTATTGTGTGAAATACACTAAAAACACAGAGAGAGAGAGAGAGAGAGATCAGATTGCTTCCCAAGCCAGCCAGACATCTGGGTCTTGAGCCATAAACTGGCAAAATTAAGCTTTGCAGTTTCCAATGTATTTTATTTATTCTTTTGTTGGGTTTTTTTGTTTGTTTGTTTGTTTCCTGTAAAATTGTACAGAAACTTTTTAAGAGAAATTGGATTCAAAAACTGGATGTGTATCCGTAACCTCATAACTTTTATTTGTGTACTGTTTCTTTTATTATTTCAGTTAAATTTTTACATTATTTTTTGCATGTATATTTCTTTGTACAGAGACCTTACATGTTTACACGTTATGATGTGATGTAAATATTTTATTTTGCCATCAGTTATTTTAAAAAATTAAACATATTTGCCTGATTTTGGTGTTAGGCTTTTTATTTAAATTAATTACTGCTAAATTAGAGAGGTCCCTGAGAGAGACATGGGGGTCTCTTTTGGAGGGGTGGGGCAGATTGTCACAATGTAAGGATGAGCTGGTTCAGGCCTGCAGTGCTCAGCAGTCAGACACATACACACTGCTGGTGTGTGACCAGCATGTCGGCTGCCTTTTGGTAACAGAGCCTAGTGCTCCTCATTTTGCTGGTACCCCATTTTCCTTATGAAGGGAGTTTCATTCCAGCCTGTTCCCCTTTGCTGGCAGCATGTCCCTTTCTCTGTCACTGACATGACCTCTCTTGGTTCTTTTTGTGTTTCCTTCTGTGATGAGCAAGGGGCACGGTGAAAGGTCCTTGGGAAGATTTGTTTGTCATGCTCCCAAGATGTTTTTTCCTTTCTCTAGAATATCGAGATTCGTGCATTCTTCATATTAACAATTTATAAATCCTTGAAACCCAGAGGTACTTTTTAATCTGTGAGGTGGGCGGAATCCCGGGATTTGGGCAGAATAAGTTACCGTATCTTCTTGTAGTCAGTGTTCATTTAAAAGGCATTACATCATCATCGAACTTTAGAAGGAAAGATGCTGCTTGAGTGTACATATATTTGAGACCTCATAGTGGGGATGAAAATAACTTTTGAAACCAGTAAAATCCTTCCTGGATTCATCTATATACATAGATCTATAATGTGTATTTTGTAAATATTAAGCATATATTACATGAAATGTAATATACAATAAGCTATCAATTACATAGTTACATATGAAATCTTTACACAAAATACTGTTCCCTGGAAAATAATCCATCCTTGCCAGCAGATCTCTGTTTTTAGTTCCATCTCACATAAATGCATTTGCCTTGGAATTTCTGGGTTTTCAGAAATAAAGTTTTAGTTTTAGGTCATTCTGGCTTATGTGCAGTGTTACCCTTACTCCAGTGGGAATGTCTTGAATGCTAACACAGTTTCACCTAGATAGCCTGTCCATCATCAGACAGATGTTCTCCTCCTGTTGCTTCTGATGGCCACATCTGTCCTCCCAGAAAGCTACTTCAGCTCATGGGGTCCTCATTAATAAGGTGAGAGGCTTACCTATTCCTCTCTGAGAGTTTTGTTTTGCCAGAAAATCCAGGGCTATAGAGAGAAACCCTGTATCTTAAAAAAAAATTAATTAAAAAATTATCTGAATGCTTCATTAAGTGTTTAATAGAATTTTCCAGTAAGTCCACATGGGCCTAGAGCATTGTGGGTGTGTGGTTTTCAATTACAGTAACAAATTCCTTCATTGGTGGAATGATATTCAAATTACTTGTTCCTTATTCACTGAATTGCAATCAACTTGTATTGTTTAAGGAAGAATTAACCATAATGTGTCTAGTTATTCAATCAATTGAGAGAAGAATGCTAATACTCCCCATGATAATTATGGTTTTGTCTGTTTCTCTTTCATTTCTCCCAGCTTCTTGTTCCACATAGGGCTTGCATGTTTGTTGTTTAATACCTATATACTCAGGACTTACTATGTTTTCTTGATCAATGTTTTTTTTTTTTTTATTGTCACTTGGCAATATCCCATTCTGTCTCTGTGATTTTCTTCACTCTGGTATGTACCATTGGATATTAATGTGATCCATCTTTATTTTTTCTCCAATTTATGTTTTTGTGGCATGTTTCCATCTTTTGTTCCATCCACACTGTCACTATGCCCATCTTACTATATACAAGTTTCTTATGGACAGCATTTAGTTGGGTTATGTCTTGTAATCTTCCCTACTCATCTTTTTATTGTTTTTAGTCTACTATTTTGTGAGTATGCATGCAGTGCCCCTGGAAACTGGGAAAGTGGGTTGAATCCTCAGAGTTACACATGTTTGTGAGACACCATGTGAATGCTGGGGATTGAACCCAGGTCCCCTGGAAGAGCACCAGTGCTCCTAACCACTAAGCAATTGCTCCAGCCCCTTTACTTATCTTTTTAATTGATGTTGTTTAGATCATCTATATTTAATGTAATTATTAACAGGCTAGCACCTAAATTTACCATTTTATTTTTTGGCCTTCTTGTCTTTCTGATGCCCATTTTCCTTTTATGCCAACTTTCCTGAGGATTACTCTAGCTAGCCCTCAGCCTCCCCCTCTTCTGTAGGCCTCCCTCAAACCAGGTCAGAAGGCCCAAGAACCATATGTTCTGGTTTCTTATAGCAATGACCCAACTCTTTAGTACCACAGTTTCTTTTCTCATTTCTGTGAAGAAAACACCTGGCAAAAAGTAAGGGAGGAGAGGCTTGTTCTATGGATTAAGATTACAGTATTTTACGGGGAACAGACATGGTACTGAGAGCAGGAGCCAGCTTGTCCATCGTGTGGTCCCTGGGTCAAGAAGCACACAGAGATGGATGGTTGCTAGTCCTCAGCTTGCTTTCTCCTTTCTTTCATTTTATTACGTGCAGGCCCCTGGCTGGAGAGATGGCTCAGCCATTAAAGGCTAGGCCCCCAACCTGTGGGAAGGCGACACCCACATTGCACGGGGGCAGGGGGGTTGCCCTCCCAGTTAAACCTCTCTAGAAACACAAGCATCATCAGAGGCATGTCTCCTGGGTGACTCCAAATCCAGTCCAGTTGACAATGAATATTAACCCTACTTCTCTGCAGTGATACCCCTCAGAGTGGTGGTTGCCTTGAGTAGTCTTTTTCACTTGTCCATTTCAACAACCACACATATTTTTAAAACTAAAGAGGAAAAGGGAAATGTAATTACTCATGCTTTTATTCTTTCCCTGTCCTTACTTCCTATTTGTTACCTGAGTGTCTTCCTGTATCCTTTCTACTTAGAGAATGCACGTCATCTGTCACTTAGGGTCATTCGGATGACAGTAATTCTCAAAGTCTTCCTTCCTAAAAGAGTATCCTTAACATCCCCGCCCCGGTCTTACACCATTTTGCTTGATGCGGAATTTCAGGTTGACAATTGTTTTCCTTTAGTACTTGAAAAGTGTACCACACCACTTGCTGCAGGTCTCCATGATTTCTGGTGAGAACTCTGATGTCACTTGCTTTTGTGTTTTTGCTTTGTCTTATTTTTTTTCTGTCTCCTACAATTTTCTGTTAAGCTCATCCATTGAGTTTGTTATGTTTTAAGTTCCAAAATTGTATTTGATTTTCCGTTACATCTATTTGCTTGCTGAGGCTTTCTTTTCATTTGTCTTGGTCACACATAATTTTTCCTTGAAGGATTTTTATTATGACTGCCTTAAAATTCTTGCCAGAAAAGTCTAGCATGCCTATAATTTTGGTGTTGATATTGACTTTTTCTATTCCAGTTAAGAGTCTCCTGGTTGAATTGTTTTAATTTTAAATGGGAAGGTTTGGAGGATTGGACTGTAAGATTCTTACGTAAACCTTCAGATTTAATTGGCTTTCTCAGACACCACTTCTCCAGGAAAGAGCAAAGGGCAGAAGTGTGGCTACATTTCCTGTCTGTATAAGATTTGCCCTTCTCATCCTGCCGAGACCTATCAAGGAACGCTGTTGTTTGCACTGTCTCCTCCTTTGTGCTTCCCTCCAAAAGCCTCATTTGGATGTTACTGTTTCTCCAAGATTGAGCCAAAGATCTGGTTAGCCTAAGTGCTTTAACCTGGTAACATTGTGAGGACATGCCAGCCTGCCCTAACCTGATGGCACTGTGCTCTTGCCTGCCCATAATAAACTGCTCTATCCTAATCACTATAGTGTGCAAAACTGAGTAATAATTTACACAGGTCCCCTGTGACAACTAAGGAAGCAATATGGAGATAGGCATCCCTTAAGGACCATTGACCTTTTGCCCTGGAATGCCTGTGAGACCTTAGTGTCCTGCAAGGGAGACAAAAATGGGATAATGGGCTGTGAGGATGTGGTAGTTTGAAATATATTGGCCCCCATCATCTCATAGGGAGTGGCACTATTAGGAGGTGTGGCTTTGTTAAAGTGGATGTGGCCTTTTTGGAGGAAGTGTGTCACTGAGGGGGCAGGCTTTGAGGTTTCCTATGCTCAGGATACCACCTAGTGTTTCAGTGGACTTCTTCCTGTTGCCTGCAGGATGTAGGCTGCTCAGCTACTATTCCGGCACTGCATCTGCCTGCACACCGCCATGCTTCCCGTCATGATGATAATGGATTGGACCTCTGACACTGTAAACAAGCAACCCCAGTTAAATGCTTTCCTTTGTAAGTGTTGCTGTGATCATGGTGCCTCTTCACAGCAATAAAAACCCTAAGACAGAGATGTTAACAGCTGCCTTTGCTTCTGTAAAACCTGCTTATTGCTATGGGAAATGGATGAAATGGCCTTTTTATTACTATATAGTGGGAAAGGAAGAAGCCACTGAGGGGAGTGAAACAGTTTTCCTGCCCAGCTGTGGATTCCGTGGAGAGTTGTCATACACACCTTTCCTATGTATGCCTCAAAAAGCTCATCTTAATTCCTTTCCGCACAACGTGCTGTATCGGCTCTAAGACTGCCATCCGTCCTTCTGCTAGCAGTAAGAAAAAAAAATCATTTAATGTAAATCTGAATTGAGTCTACGTCTCTGTTTTTCTCCCAGTGGATTCAAATGCCACAACAACACTAAGAGCTAGCGTCACCAAAATGAGCTGGTAATGTCAGAAAGAGCAATGCTTTGCCTAGTCCTAATTTCCCTCCTGAATCAAGCTGAGAAGGTAGGCTGGTTACACCGGCCGCTAGTTGGTATCCTCAAACACAGTCTTGGCATGGGATTGGAGCCCCAGGACAGCTAGGCAGGGGTAGAGTTGCAGCTCTTCATTTATCTTCACTGGTTGTGCTGTGACCCACTTTCTGCTGTGGTGTGTGGCTCCAGACAGCCAGCCACACCTTGCTAGATTGTACCTGCCTCATGCTAAGTGCAGGCACAGGGTTTGGTGGGTCTTCTTGTCTCCACCTGTTGACACTTCCAAGTTTCTGGCTACTTTAGCTCCAAATGTGAG